CGGGACACGGAGTGGTTTGCTCATTGAACCGAGGTACACTTTACACCATAGCAACACATCGAATACGCCGACAAACAACTGGAGAGTTGGACCTGAGGTCACAGTGTATCCTCCATATGCACTGCATTTAAATTTAGTCCTACGTCCTGCAATGGCAATATTGAAAAGGGTAGGCCATATAATAAACTCCGTGTTCTGTAGTCCGCAAGCGAACTATACCAACCGAGCGACCGCCGCTTGTCGGCGAAGTTAGTGCCAACTTTATCGGATAGAGGGTGTCACGTGGTCAGCGCAACGGATCCCCACGGCCGTTAATCTCGGTTTTCTAGACCGGAGCCACTATTTCCTTGAAACAGCTCCTCAATTATCCTCACGAAGCTGAATGGACCCCGTTCCAGACCCGCTACTTCTCAGAAAATCTCCTAGCGCCGGGAATTGAACCAGGGATTTCTGGGTCTGTAGCCTCTGACCACTAGACCACAGAGGCGGTCCCGCGTCCTTCCAAACTCATTTAAATTTATGTGGTCTGAGATTCTGACATCCTCGTAAAATGAACCACAAAAAATACTTTTTAGTCATTTTACAAGAAAAATAATACATACGAAGGACTTTGAAATCCGATGAAAAAACATTTTCAACGAAGGGAAACATCAGCAGAGATGGAAAGCGTGCAGGTAGCATGCAAGAAGACTGGATCCCCGAATATCCGTATTCATGTGCCCAAAAGGAAGTAATTTTGAGTCGATGGGAACGCCAATTTATAAGCATCTGAATCCCAGAACCGGTTTCACAGTACTCGATTGGAGTGGAGTAAGAAGTTGTGCCGCCGGTCACGGTAGCCGAGCGGTCTAAGGCATCTACTATCTTCGCTCGCTCGGAAACCGGGATCGTGGGTTCGGATATGTTTCCTGTGAGGTACGAACTGAATTCTTATATATTATTCTTATACACTGCCGGTCACGGTAGCCGAGCGGTCTAAGGCATGCACTGTCTTCGCTCGCTTGGAAACCGGGATCGTGGGTTTGGATCGGTTTCCTGTGAGGTACGAACTGAATTCTTATATATTATTCTTATACACTGCCGGTCACAGTAGTCGAGCGGTCTGAGGCATGTACTGTCTTCGCTCGCTTGGAAACCGGGATCGTGGATTCGAATCCCACTCAGGGCATGGATGTTTGTGTGCGTTTTTCTGTGTTTGTGTACAGGTAGAGGCCTTGCGATGAGCTGATCACCCGCCCAAGGAGACCTACCGAATGTGTAAGATCTAGAAAAACCGAAGTGAACGGAGAAGTTCATGGAGGTAGGTCTAGACCCACTGGGTCTGTAGTGCCAAGGAGAAAAAAAAAAAAAGAAGTTGTGCGAATGAAATATTTTCCATGTTGCTTTTACTTCGCGATTATCGTTCGTACATATAAAATATAACGTACTTACGTTTCGGGAGCAGCAGCGTTTAAAACAATTAAAAATAAGATGAGGTATAGAGTTGTGTGGAGACTGATCGCCAGGTCCAAATAAAATATGTAAAAAGGTAAGTTAAAGCAGTTCCTGTGTTCAACGAATTAACCACTACGCCATGAAGGCGTATGGGGGAGCGTATGTATAGATCCATATTTTCTTTACCTCGGTACTAGCTGGAGGTGAGTGGTCAGCTTCACGCCCCTGCCGCTTTACCCCCGGGGAATGAGCCCAGGTACCCCTTGGATAGGAGTTGGGTGGACCCCAGAGCCGGTCTGGACGATTTGGAGAAGGAAAGAAGATTTTTTTCAAGAGGTTTCTTCCCTTCAGATTTCCCCATCAAAATTCTCTATACATTTCCCATTATTACCGCGTGTGATACACGTTCCGCCCGTTATCTATGATCCGCGTAAGCCTAAATGAAACCACAATGAGCAAATCTCACTTCACATAAACTGGCCGAATGCTTCAAATGAATATTGTCACGTGAAGGGGGTTTCTGCGTCGATTGTGAATTGGATTTACTGACACTTTATACGTTCAACTAGGGACAGCAGGCAGTACAGTGTTATCGCTGACCAACACACTTTACAGTTCACCGCTGAACACACACTAGGATTCTCAGTCTCCACTAGTCGTATCCTGGCAACGGATTTATAATAGTATCACTGTCACTTCAACTCCCACATGAAGTCTTCTTTCCACAGTCTAATTCCTTTTTTGTCATTTCTTCTCAATCACCTTAGACTGCCATCACCAGAACTCGACCCATTTCTTGACAACTCACTCAAATGAACTCTTTTTCAACTGAACTCTCTCAACTTCTGACAACTAACTGCTCTATTGGAAATTCTCGTTATATAGCCTCGGGGCGGACCCCATTGAAAACACCGTCTTCTATGATTCCCCTATGTTTTAAGCGTGTTTACTTATCCGTTGCATAGCAATAGATACCCTATTGCTGCGCGCGATGGATCCCGGGGGAATGTGTTCACTGAGTGGTTGCTTAGTAAAGGGTCTGTACGTTACAATATGTTTAGTATCCTCTTCAAATATTGCCATTTCATGCAACAATGACATAGAATACTTGTACACAATGATCAAACCCAGTATGTGCCTCACGAACAAAATGGGACTGATAATTGTGTGATAAATTATGAACACGGGGTTCACACGCAAGCAGGAGGCGCATGCTCAGTTGCGAAATGAAATTAAAATGGACACGTACCTAATCGACTCTAAGTAAAACAGTAAGTTTGTTTGCGAATTCTGGTGTCGCATGAGTACAGTCAGCATCCATAACGGAACTGACGTGACAATTGATAGACATGGCATCAGACTAGCCTGTCTGTCCCGTAGTCATTATCATGTCTCTAGTGTATTGTATTGTTTCTACCGAACGTTAAGGCAACCACGTACAGTGATGTCGAATTCAATGAAGAGAGAAACTGCGATAGAAATTATATCGTCCTGAAGGGAAAGGCTTCGACCTATCAGTAGTAACTAACAAGAGATGTGTTGAAAACAGTCGCCACGCAGATTTCATAGATACACTTACAAGGACAATAAGTTGCGTGATCACGCCAATGTACATATTTCGCGTCGTTGCTAAGCTATTATTTCCAGTTCTCCTAAGAAGTATCAAAGAAAACCGCTAGGTTATCAAAGATCACTCACTACACTGAACAGACTTCCATCAAAGTAGTACTTTATCGTGGGATAGCAGTGAAATACAGAATCATTCTGTTCTACTTTCGAGAGACGTTAAGATGACATCAGACACATCTAATTCCTTTAATACACTTCTCAGCTTACGTATAAGGGCTTCTTCAAAGTGAAATCTAACTTCGACACGCAGTTCCATGGCGTGGTTCTCAAAAAAAGAAAAAAAAAAACTCGGTGGCCTGTAGTCCGCAAGCGAACTATACCGACCGAGCGACCGCCGCTTGTCGGCGAAGTTAGTGCCAACTTTTGCGTATAGAGGATGTAATGTGGTCAGCGCAAAGGATCCCCCAAGACCGTTAATCTCGATTTTCTAGACCGGAGCCGCTATTTCATTGAAATAGCTCCTCAATTATCCTCACGAGGCTGAGTGGACCCCGTTCCAGACCCACTACATCTCAGAAAAACTGGTAGAGCCGGGAATCGAACCCGGGATCTGTAGTCAGGAACTCTGACCACTAGACCTCAGAGAAGGTTCTCAAAACAATACTCTTTGTAAATGTAAGTTTCGACTGACAATTCTTGAGAGTTCGGTCTTGTTATTGCGTCTAGAGTCTCAGTTCGTGAAGTATGGTATTCCTTATTACTCAGTCTGTTTGGTGGTTTGAATCTCTCAAACGCCGACATCACTCTACCATTAAACAATAAATGTAATCAAATTATTGGAAGTTTGGTGAATATTCCAGTGAGACATTTTGTCACCAATTTCATGGCCTACGAATGTACTTATGTAAAGTAGCATTTTCATTGCTTTGAACTTTATGAAAATGTAAATGAGGGTATCTGAAAGCAATGTACACAGTAGGTAAGGGAACGGAGAAAACTACATGAGGAGGAACTTCATATGCATTTAAGATGATTAAATCACAGAGGATGTGTGGCATATAATATGCATGCGATTAACAAAAACTTATACGAAATTTTGTTTAAAAATATCGAACGAAGAGAGTACTTGAAAATATAGGGAAATAATCCTATTTTTTTTAGCGAAACGGGGCGTAAAAATATGGTTGGATTCAAATGGTTAGGGAGGTCCTATCATCTTAATAACTGGTTCCATAAAGGAGTGAATTTCCATGAGCATCAGAATGTCTATTAGCTGCTCCAGTACAACTCGCTGAGGGTCGCGGTAGAGAGGTTAGTTAGAGCTTCATATTCTGTGAGGTCCAGAGGATTATGACGACCAAAACGTTTCCATGCTTTTCCTCAGCAACATGACAAGAAAGTCGGAATGTACTTCATATCAGGATAAGACCACTTATTCCACACTCTTTCCAATTCATTATTAACTACTCATCCTGTCATTAGACGCTAAATCAAGGGCTCGGGTGTGCGGAGGTTCTCATTTGTACATGCGCAACTTCTACCGCGCCTATACGCAGAGAAGTGCGCACTGGTCTCCTGAAACCATACAGCTGAATCAGAGCTTCGCAAGGAAACCTGCATATGGAACTGGTTAGGTCTACCGCGCCTATACGCAGAGAAGTGCGCACTGGTCTCCTGAAACCATACAGCTGAATCAGAGCTTCGCAAGGAAACCTGCATATGGAACTGGTTAGGTCTACCGCGCCTATACGCAGAGAAGTGCGCACTGGTCTCCTGAAACCATACAGCTGAATCAGAGCTTCGCAAGGAAACCTGCATATGGAACTGGTTAGGAGATAAAAGAGTTTTGCTGGCGAATGCTTCAAATGAGGTAGTTTATCGTATCTTTCACTATATTACCACTTAGAATTCTTCGTTATTGAAAGTCTGTTTACTCAGCAGAAACTTAAGCTGTGAAGTAATTGGAAACGGTATTATGAAAGGCATGATATACTTACCCTGGCACGATCGAACGCAACTGTAGACTCGAGCGAGTCATCCGAGCCGCCTGCTTCAGACATCGCGAGAAATTCATGCGTCCTGTAGGCCAATTCTGGGTGTTTCTTCCTCCGGGGGATCGCCGGCTCGAATCTCGGCACTGGAATCAAGATAATGGCATATGTCAGATCCACTGAGAGCTTGGCGTCAAATCTGAATTGTAAACATCAATCAACATCATATCGTGGACTGATTGTCCTGCCGCTTGCCTTACTGGCTGACAACTAAATCATTTCTGGTTCTGGTTTCTTCCCCAGTAGTTCACAGTTGTATTCAACTGACAAAAACATTCCTTGCTTCTAAGAAACCAAAGTTTCAAGAGCTTAATTACAAAAATATGCCACTGGAACCTATCTTCGTCTATACTACCTTAAGTTCGAGGCCGGGGTAGTGTAGTCGGTATAGCGACTGGCTACGGGCTGGACGATAGAGGGGTTGGAGTTCGAGTATCGATAGGGTCAAGAATTTTCTCTTCTTCACGTAGTCAAGATCGGCTCTGGAGCCCACCCATCCTCCTATACAATGGGGCTTTCCACGGGGGTTATGGGGCAGGGGCGTGAAGCTAACCACTCACCTCCAGCTAGTGCCGATGTCAAGAAAATATGGATCTATACATCCACTTCCCCATACGCCTTCATGGCGTAGTGCTTAATTAGTTAAGCACAGGGACAGCTTTACCTTTCTCTCCCTTACCTGCAGTCCGAAAAACCCTCGAAGGTGAATGGGAGATATACTCGTATAAAAAGCGGCGGTGGTCATATTATGGCACTATCCTAGCATTCGCCTGAAGAGGTTGAAGCCCGGAAAATCTTAGTCAAGTAACCGGCTTCTAGGTCGAGCATGGAACACGGAACCTCCCAAATGCGAAGCAGGGCCATGTCGTTCCGTCAAACAGTCTTTTAAAGCATCTTGTATTTTAAAGCCAATCTCACCTTTACGTTGTAGACTCGACTTTCACATTGAATCTGGTGACTAAGTTACAGGGAGCAAAATTTATATCTACACACACGTGTACCTAGTCACGGAGGTATCATCATCACTTCCGCGTGAAGGCAATATTACGATTAGTTACTATAGGATTCTGACGATGGTGTATAACACACTGATATATTGGGTTTCTGGACTTTATCCGTCGTTCTGGTTTTCAAAATAACAAATAAAAACACGACGTTTCGGAAACTGGATCTGTTTCCGTCCTCAGGTGAAGGAAATGGGAAACACCTATTCTGTTGGGTCCGTTAGAAAGAGCTAGCCTCAATCACTGGACCTTTTCCTTCCCTGAGGACGGAAACAGATCCAGTTTCCGAAACGTCGTGTTTTTATTTGTTATCGCCCAGTGATTGAGGCTAGCTCTTTCTAACGGACCCAACAGAATAGGTGTTTCCCTTTTCCTTCACCTGGGGACGGAAACAGATCCAGTTTCCGAAACGTCGTGTTTTTATTTGTTATCTTAAAAACCAGGACGATGGATAAAGTCCAGAAACCCAATATATCAGTGCAATATTACGATGTTTGGGTCTAGTGAATGTTCGTCTATTAATATCTTTGTAAAAAACGTCATCTCGATCTGTCGTCCTGCTCGATAGTTAAGTGAATAATAATTCCATCAAGTTCAGCTAGTTTAATATAAAAATATATAGATACAGCCTTACATGTTTCGGCCAGTATTGGCCATCGTTTGAAGGTTCTGCAACACTGCAGGAAAATACTTCACATATACACCATACAAATGTCGTTGTATAGTGATTTTTACCATTAAAATTAATTTTAACCTCCCGTGTGGAGGCGGGGTCGAATACCTCCAGAGTGGCCCTGGGAGTCGTAGGAGGCGCCAAAAAAGGGAAGTTTCGAATCTGAGACAGTAAAATATGGTCATGACTCCAACGGGACCCGGACCCGAGAATGACTGCGCTGGCGAAGACCAGCAGCAATTGTAAACGACAGACCCGTCCTCTCGTCCGAGTGAGCGCCTCACATTAACAAACCCGCAACTGTCTGACAGTAATAAAATTCTGGTCGTTAAGACCCAGATGGGTGCCTGTTTCAAGGGAGACTGGCCGACTGACCGTCGGTCGTAACATAAGACTCGACTCGATTCTAATTTTATATCATTTAAAATTGTTAAAAATTCCAGTTGCGTAACGTAGAATTCATTTTTCTTTTTTCAGTGTTGATATGTAGAGTATTGCCGATCACAGTGGCCGTGTGGTCTAAGGCACGAACTGTCTTCGCGCTCGCGAACACTGGGATCGTGGGTTCGAATACCACTCAAGACATGGATGTCTTTGAGCGTTTATTCAAGTCAAAGTCACATTGCGACTGACGATTAGTCAGTCAGTAAGTCTTGGTGTCGAGCCCTATCTGGGGCTCATGACCAGATATTTATTACTGTTTGACAATTACGGTCTTCTTTTGTGGGGCGCCCTCTCTGACGAGAGGACGGGTGTGTCTTTTGTATATGCTGCTGGTCCTTGACAGCGCAGTCTGTCTCGGGTCCGAGTCCCTTGTGTGCGTTTATTCTGTGTTCAATCCCCTTAAATAGGCCTTATGCGGACGGCTTCCAGAACACCGTTCTCAACAGTTCGGTTTGGCCGTTGTCATTCAACGACCCTCTGTTGTCTTTCATCTCCAGGGAAACGCGTTTGTAGTTTAAAGCATTCCTAGGCAAAGCCCCAGTGTTATTGCGTTTTCCCGGCACGTGACAATATATATAGTACACAATTTTTTTTTTCTGTGGCGCTACAGCCCCAGTGGGCTTACGCCTACCTCCATGAAACTCTCAGTTTCACTTCGGTTTACTAGATCTTACACATTCGGTAGGACTCCTTGGGCGAGTGATCAGCTCGTCGCAAGGCCTCTACCTGTAGACAAACACAGAAAAACGCTCACAAACATCCATGCCCTGAGTGGGATTCGAACCCACGATCCCGGCTTCCGAGCGAGCGAAGACAGTGCATGCCTTAGACCGCTCGGCTACCGTGACCGGCAGTGTATAAGAATAATATATAAGAATTCAGTTCGTACCTCACAGGAAACAGATCCGAACCCACGATCCCGGTTTCCAAGCGAGCGAAGAGAGTACATGCCTTAGACCGCTCGGCTACCGTGACCGGCCGTACAAATATATTATGTGTGTGTGTATATAAGAACGAGATGAAAAGACAGAAACTCAAATCAAGAAGTTACACAAGTGGAATAATTCTCGAACTATGTAAAGACATTACATTGCCCCACCTATACAATCGTGGAGCGCTGTACTCGGCAGTGCAATAAGCAGTGGGACCACAACCGTTGTACCAAGATAGATCATATGAATCACTTTTATTTTCGACTAGATTTGTAACTTCCACTTCTCATCCAGGTCTGCAGTAGTGGCGTGCTGAACGCAGCATTCCACGCCGTTGCAGACTGGGAAGACTTGATCACAAAATAAATGGCGCTTCATTTCCAGGAAGCTGAAACTCTGATCCAGCCTCCCCGCCACACACGGGGCGCGTTCACTGTTTAGATGATGGGTTCAGTCTGGGGTTCAAATAACAAAACAAAACAAAAAAAAAACTCCGTGACTGTAGTCCGCAAGCGAACTACACCGACCGAGCGACCGCCGCTTGTCAGCGAAGTTAGTGCCAAATTTAGCGGATAGAGGGTGTCGCGTGGTCAGCGCAACGGATTCCCACGGCTTTAATCTTGGTTTTCTAGACCGGAGCCGCTATTTCCTTGAAATGGCTCCTCAATTATTCTCACGAGGCTGGGTGGACCCCGTTCTAGATCCACTACTTCTCAGAAAATCTGGTAGCCAGGAACTCTGACCACTAGACCACAGAGGTGGTTTTCTGTACTGTTAACTCTTTCATAATATCTCTGACTTGTATACCAGAGATACTCAGCTCGAATATCGCAGAGGGCACCGAATTTCCTGACACTGGTTCACGTAACTTTCACAATTTCTTCCGTGAATGTTTGAAAAGAAAACTCAGGAACATGCCTTCCCACTTACAGCTACATCCCTCCTAATTCAGAATTCATGGCAGCCGCTGTCATATCCATCGCTAACTCGGTCGATATTCTTAAGGACCACTTATCACGCCTTTAAAACAGCCGTTTTGACGTAAATGTACATCGGAGTAAAATGTAACTGGACACGACGTTCAGCAGACGGCCGTAAAATAACACGTATTCTACGATAAAGTTCTTATCCGGGTAAGAATGGTATACTTAATTATTGTTAGGTCTCGCCCAGTGAGCCGGGATAGCGTAGTCGGTATAGCGACTAGCTACGGGCTGGACGACAGAGGAGTCGGAGTTCGAGTCCCGGTAACGTCAAGAATTTTCTCTTCTCCACGTCGTCCAGACCGGCTCTGGGGTCCACCAAATCTCCTATTCAATGGGTACCGGGGGTAAAACGGCCTGGGCGTTAAGCTGATCACTACCCTTCAACCAATGCAGAGGTCAAGAAAATGTGGATCTATATGCCCACTCCTACATACTCCTTCATGGCGTAGTGCTTAATAAGTTAAGCACAGGGACAACTTTACCTTTTTATCTCTCACCCAGGATACGACTAGTCAACATGAGGAAACTAAGGGTTCTATGAAAGAATTTCTTGATTAGCTTAACGACTCTTAGCGTCACAGGAATGATGTTTCTTCGGGGAGTTTTTTTTACAACTATTCTTTACGTCAGAGTTCCTAGCTACAGATCCAAAGGTCCGGGTTTGATTCCCGGCGCTAACGGATTTTCTGAGAAGTAGTGGGTCTGGAACGGGGTCCATTCAGCCTCGCGAGGATAACTGATGAGCTATTTCAATGAAGTAACGGCTCCGGTCTAGAAAACTGAGATTAACGGCCGTGGGGATCCGTTGCGCTGACCACGCGACACCCTCTATCCGCTAAAGTTTGTACTAACTTCGTCGACAAGCGGCGGTCGCTCGGTCGGTCGGTCGGTATAGTTCGCTTGCGGGCTACAGGCCACGGAATGTTCTTAGTTCTTTACCTCATTATTATTATTATTATTTACAGTTGTCTCAAATAATTCTGGTGTGTGGCTTCTTTCGCAGCATCTTCACGAACAGAGCTACTCGGCAATAGTTAAGGCAAGAGT